ACTGTCCTCTTCCTCACCGCTTATTCAGCAGCTGCCCCCGGGGTAGGGGTGGCAGGAGAGACCCAGATGGGGGCAGCCAGAGACGGCCAGGGGGTGGTTGAGTGGGGGTGTGGGGCTTGAAACCTCAACCACTGACAGAGCCTGGCTGGGGCGCTATTGTAATGAATGGAGTCGCGGCTGTGGGCCTCTTGGCCTGTGGGTTTCTCACTTTGGACGGACAAGGATTCACAGAGCGGATGGCTCTTAGAGGGAGCCGCTCAGTCCAACAAGCGCTGTGCCAAATGCCGCCTCAGTCCGGGAGAGAGCAGAGGGCACGTGGTGGCCTGCCCTGCTCCCAGCTGCAGCCCATTGTGCCTGTGGGACCTATCACCTTTTGTTCCAAGGGACCGGCTGCCAGACTCCTTCCCATCCCTCACACCTTCTTCTGGACACTCACATGGTGCTCTGGAAACTTCCAGCGGCCTGTAATTTCATCCTGAGGCCCAGCACCATTTTCCGAATTCTGGAATGCTGCTGTGCTAACGGGACCTGCTGAGGAACCACCTCCCTGAGAGTGCCTTCAGCGGAAGACTGACGGGCTGGCGTAGCCGCCTCGGGCTCCCTGGCCTCACCCTGGGTAGCTGCAAGGCGGGGCTTTGTACCTTCAGGGAGGGGTTCTGCTCCGGTCGCCCCCCCTCCCGCCCCCCAGGCTGTCTGCAGCTCTGAAATAAACCGTCTGCTCTCACCCCGGTCTCAGCATCAGCTTCTGGCGTAACTCAAACCAAGATCCCCGGTTTTCAGGAGGAAGCAGAAATCTGTTTTTTTATAGAAAACCCCTTAATTTTTAAGTGTTGGCCTCTAATGCCAATTGTTGAAAACAAAACCAGACCCTGCGTGGGCCGCACACCCACAGGGCACATCTGGGAGGCGCGTGCACGGGGGCCAGGCCTGACCCCGCACGTCCCTGAGCTGGGACCGCTGGGCTGTGGTCAGTGGGTGCTCTCAGCAGATTGGCTGTCTTCCTCCACCGCCTCTCATGAGAATGTCCCCTCCTGTCACTTTCCCTGCCTCCCTGCCCCTCCCTCTCTCGTCCTGATTTCCTGGGCAAGCCTTGCCTGGCTGCCTGTGCTTCCAATGAAGTGCCAGCAGCATTTAGCAAGAGTTTACTAGAGACTAGAGTAGGGGTGTCGAACTCAATCAGAGAAGGGGCCAAAATCTAAAATCCAGCCTAAATCGCGGGCCGAATGGTTTACTGAACAGTCATAAACTGTCATTGTGATGGAAACGCAGGGGAGTGCAGTGATGACAGCGCGGTGTGGGCCACATTGCAAGGCCTGGTGGGACGGATTTGGCCCGCGGGCCTTGTGTTTGACACATGTGGACTAGAGGGTAGTATCTCCAGGGAGCCTGTTGACAGTGGGGAACCCTTGTCCAGCTGTTTGAGAAATGCCTCCTCTAAGAAGTATCCGAGCTCCAGTTTCTCAGGTCAATGTGCTGTCTGTGCCTGGCCCGGGTCCCCCAGGGCCCTCCCTCTCTGAGGGGATGTCACAGAGGCCCCGCTGGTATGGGGATGAGTTGAGAACGCCAAAGACCGAGGGTTTCAGGCAATTTATGACAGCAGATGGCTGCCTTGGGCTGTGAACTCTCCCCACAGTGACCCTGAGTCTGCTACAATCCCATAGGCCAGCGGTCGGCAAACTCATTAGTCAACAGAGCCAAATGTCTACAGTACAACGATTGAAATTTCTTTGGAGAGCCAAAATTTTTTAAACGTAAACTTCTTCTAACACCACTTCTTCAAAACAGACTCACTCCGGCTGTGGTATTTTGTGGAAGAGCCACACTCAAGGGGCCAAAGAGCCGCATGTGGCTCGCGAGCCGCAGTTTGCCGACCTCGGCCATAGGCCACCTCCTGCTCCTGCCTGCAGCTCGGTGAGAATGGCGTGAGGTGGGATGGGGCTCTGGAACCTGACCCTACACTTGTTCTCCCCAGCCTCTTCACCCTCCACCGTCTTGTCTGTGTATTCTGGCTTTCAGTGGTATAAGCTTATACATGCAGGTTTCTGGCTGCTCCAAATTATTCTGTAGGATTCCAGAGTCTTGAAAATGTTATTTGGCAAAAAGAAAAGTTTTTATGATAAAAGAATCCCACACATAACAATGATTCTGGTGAACCCTCGAGCTTTGACTATGCCAATGTGCACAGAGCGGTCAGGTGACCACAGGTCTGCTGAGCACTCTCAGAGATTCCGTGCTGCAGACTCCATGGCTGGGCCTGCCTGGCAGGGTTCCAGGGCCAAGCGGTACGCGTCCCAGGCCCCTGCTGGGGATCAAACTGCTTCCTGCGTTGGGTCCAGCTGACTGTCACTCCCAGGAGACCCTGTGGGGTGTTCAGCTCCTTCCCAGGGTAACTTGGGTGCAAAGGAGGAAGATTTGGGATGGGGGGCGGGGGGGCGGGGATGGCTTTTGGTCTGGGCTGGTGGCTGAGTGGGTGGGGAGGTGTCTGGGCTGCTCTGTCTGTGATTAGGGCCATTTGTGTCTCCAGCGGCCATTTGTGGTAGGAAACACAACCCAGAAAAGAAGCTAAATATACCCAGTCCCCAGAAGAGTGGACAGCAGTGCCACCTGGCTGGGGGCTGGGGGCTGGGGGCCGGGGGTGGAGATTTCACCAAGTCGGACGTCATTGCTCTGACTCCTGTATGGTAAGGTTGAGAGAAAGATGGTGTGAGTTTTCGAGGCCGGGCCCGGGTGAAACGGCACAGACACAGGCTCGAGGTTTGGGAAAGGGGCCCCATTCCCTTACATTGTGCCTTCCCCCGTCATCACCCCTCCTCCAGGCACCGCTGTCCCCAGGCTCGGCTCTTCTGTCCCTTCGTGTTGCTGCTGCCCTGCTGGCCCAGGTCCCCCAACCCACAAGGGCCCTCCAGCTCTGCCTTCCGTGTTCCAGAATGAACCTTCTCCCTGCGAGAGCCCGTTCCCTCCAGGCGGCTGTGAGGGGACAAAAGGGTGGGACCTAATTCACACTAAAATTGCTATGACTGCGAGAGCAATGTGATTGCAATCTGAAAGGGTTCCATATTCTGAGTGAGAAAGAGCCTGAGAAATCTCCTTGTGGGATTTTAAGACTTCCTTAAGGCCAAATGAAATCTCAGGTGCCAGCCAATCGGCACAGTTGTTCTGGGCATGAGGGCTGATTTTTCAATCTCTAATGGGCTTTTTGGAACAAAGATTGTAAACCACAGATTGCACCCTCATTCTTACGGAAACTGGGGCTCAGATAAGGAACGTTGCTTGCCCAAAGGGCACGGGGCCAGATAGTGGCAAAGCTGGGACGTGCCTCCAAGTCCCTTGACCTCTGGCCAGTGCCCTGCCCCAGGATGCCTGGGAACTGACCTCTCAGACCTCAGGCCTGCAGCCAGCTGCCAATACAGCCACCCTGGCTCTGCCGTCCTGGTGACAGGCAGGCCGTGCCTCATGCCCCCCGCCCTCGGCCACACTTCCTGCCCGTCACTCCCCAGGAGGGGGTGGGGCTTCCTCTGCCCTGCTTCATGCCGGAAGTCACCCCGTTCCTACAGCTGCTCGTTCTCCCCGTTAATGTGGATGATTGCCACTGAGAACAAATGCAAAAGAAAGGCAGAGACACTTCGAGTTTTACTCATTGCATGTTTCCACTTTTAATTAAATAAATCAAGTAAGCCATCAGGCGATGGGTTCACATTCTCTTCCGCAGAGCAGACCCCGACCGGTGCTGGCTGCCAGCTCTCTGAAGGGCGGGAAATGTGGCCTCGGCGAGGACATCTGGGACTGACGGCGAGGGGGCCGGGAGCCATGTGGCCGAGCAGAATGAGCTGCATGTTACACACACACACACAAACATGTGGACACCTATGTACACACACCATGGCCACACATGGCCGTGAAAGGAGCGTCCTGTACCACGTGGCCTCAAAACATGACCCAGGGAGAGGTCTTGGCAAAAAGGCAGCGTGAGCGGGGTCCAGGAGGGAGCAGGGGAGCCGTGCGGACTTGGCCTAGAGTTTACCGCTGAGACGGAGACTTCCTCGTGGGATTTTAAGACTTCCTTAAGGCCAAATGAAATCTCAGGTGCCCAGGCCATGCCCAGAGGGAGAGGAAGCAGGGTACAGGGGTCATCTCACTTCCCAGGCAAAACACCCCATCTACAATACCAGCGAAACTCGTGGGGACGGATGGCTGCGTGTCTGTATCCTTGGAAACAGGTAATGGATCAGTCCCCAGGGCACAGTTGTGGAAGGACAAAGGACCTCGAAGAGTTTAAGATTTCTGAAGTTGGCAATTCTGCGTCGCCCTTTGGAGGGAAAGAGCAGTTCTGACTATTCCTGAAATGGTGACAGCTGAGAGGCCCTGTGGCTGCCCTCAGGGCACCGTGGCCTCCTCCCTCCTGTCCAGCGGGACCACGTCCTGGGAATCTCCACAAGCAACTCAGCCACCTGAGCCCTGGACCGCTATGGATGCCCCTTCTCTCTGTTCGTGCAGATCTGCAAGAACCCATCTCCTCCCATGCTCTCCCCTCAGCTCTCTGACCAGGCTCCCATCCTTCCTCCAGCCTTTGGGGACAGGAGTGGGAGGGGACGGCCCTGGGGACACAGCCACCCAGTCTTCTGCTCCCGTCCATCATCCGGGGCCTATCCAGGGACAGGCCCGATGGCCCAGTACAACAGGCCCGTGTGTGGGAGAGGGTCACCCAGGGCCATAGAGACCTTCAGGGTCAGGACCATCGATGCTAGCATTTCCTGTCTGCTGTCTAGGCCACGCAGGCATCCTCTGGGCCAGGGACCCCCTGACCTTCTGCTGGAGCTGGTTCCATGGTTGGACAGATGGCAGAGGTGGCAGAGAAAGATGCCACTGTGAGGGCTGAGTGGGTGTCTTCTGTTCTCGGGCATTTAGTCAGGAGCTGCCCCATTAGGCCAGCCTCTGGCCAAGGGCACTGGCAGATATGGAGTAAACTCTTCCTTAAATATTTTAATATTTAGTTACTCACGTTCTAGCGTGTGCATCACATAAAGTGACAAAGGGTGGAATTTAGTCGCCTCTCTCAACCTTTGCTCGGGAATGACCTGCAGGGGGTGGGGGGGTGACCGTGCTGCACTCCGCTTCCTTCACCCTCTCCCTGGGGACTCAGGACTCTGGCCCCACCGGCTGCTCCCCAGGCCTGCCCCCATGCCAAGGCTTACAAACAGGCACAGAGAAGCCAGGAACGGGCCGTGGTGGTGATGGCTTGCGGGTGTTAGACACGGCCCTGTCTAACCAGAGCCTGGAATGTTCTGAACTATTTATACGGGCCAGGCTAAAGAGATCTTCTTCAGGAAGAAAAAGTGAGTAAATGCCCGCTGCTGAATGGGCCCTTGTTCTGAGGAAGCTGGTAGCGGCGAGGTGAGGCCTCAAATGCTCCCTCTGTCTCCAGGAGGCTGGAGGGGGCGTGGGGGGAGCCGTGGAGGGAAGGCTCCTGGCGGATCGGCAGGAGCAGAGAAACCGGGACAAGAGGGCGCGTCCCCAGCTAGGTGCGTGCTGAAAACCCCAGAGACGTCACCCCGACCAGGTCCCACGGATGAAAAGGCAACGGTCACCCCATCCTGGCCTTCCCCAAACCCCCAGGCTTCCCAGAGCCCGAGGCAACACTGACTGGAGCTGTGTCCTGTTTCAGACACCGGGGCAAAGGCCATACAGCAGAAAGGGCCTGACTGTCATATCCTCGGACCTGCAAGAGGAAACCCAGGGGTCTCCTTAAACAAGAGCCGGGGCCGCCCCGGCTCCTGCGGTCTCGGTTTCGTTGCCTCTTGCATTCTGAATGGTCTTGGATTGTCCTTGTGTGTGGATGAGTGAATAATTCTTATTATTAGGCAGCTTTGAGTTCCTGCATACAATAAGACATTTTCTGTCACTTCTTTTTTCACAAAATAAATAAGTTAAGTCAACTTGCTGTGTACAAATCGTCAATGTCCTGAGAAGTCCCCAAGGTCCACTCCCGGCACCTTGGCCCCGGACATCAGAAGGAAGGAGAAGTCTGCTGCCCACAGTAGGAGGACCCAGGAAGGACCCTGGAGGGAGGACCAGGAGGGGAACAGTGTAGGGGGGCAGGGCAGGGGCTGGGGAAGACCCACCAGCACTCTGGGCCTGCCAGAAAAATCTTGGCCCCACTCTGTCCCAGGGCCAAGTTTTCAGAGCTGGAGTCCCTTTGGACCCCAAATGAGAGCCAGATCCCTGCACAACTTATTCTCAGACTGGAAAGCCTGGAGCAGAGACCTCCTTGAGCGGCTGAGGTCCGTGGTGATGCCTGCAGCTCAGATCCGGAGGTTATACGGGACCCGTAAGATGGCTACCATCCTCGCCTTTTCAAATGGCAGTTTCCAGCCAGGACAACCCCTTCCTTCCCCACAGCAGCCCCAGCTGGACTCAGATCCTGTCTTTCCCTCATGTCCATATTCGCAACAAAAACTCAGCCCTCTGGGCTGGACCATGGGATGGGTTTGAAATCAGGAAATCAGGAACAGCCCTTAGCGAAGTGACAGTCCTGTGAGTTCTTAGATGGCCCTGAGCTGGGCTCCTGGGTTGGTCGCAGGGCCTGCCCTCTCTCCTGCCCCGGGAATGTGGCTGGGCCTGGCCTGAGGGCTGCTAACTTATGCTGCTTCTGGACATGCAGCGAAGGAGGCTGGTGGTTTCTGAGACTCGTTTCACACGAGTTCAAGCAGAAAAGCCCGAAAGGCACTGTGGGTTGTCCCGTGGCCACCGAAGCTCTGACCCTGGGAGGAGGCTCTTCCCCCTCCTCCTCTCCCTCCAGCAAGCACCAGAGTGCTCCCCCTGGTCCTCCCAGAGCCCCCTCGGCCCCTCAAGCACAGACTGCTTCCAAGAGGCACTTCTGCAGGAACAAAAACACAGCCGCAAAACAAGACACCAAACCATAAATATCTTAGACACACACACACACACACACACACAACAGAAAACAAACACCCGGTCCATCCCCTTCAGCAACATTCTTCCCAGAACCCTGAAGGAGGGATTTCAGACTAACCACGCCACCGTGGCGGCCAGCAGGAGGCTGACCGCTGTCCCCCGTCTTCTCAGGGGAGGGGCTGTCCTGATGTGACTTCTCCTCCACACGCACTCTGCACTGTCCCCGGGCCCTGCCCCCGAGGCCTGGCTGGAAGGGCAGGACCCGTGAGTTCCTTTTGCTTCCAGGGGCCGCAGCTGCTTCTGCCAGTCAGGCCTGAGGCCGCCTACAAACACGGACACGCTCCAGGACGTCAGCAGAGCGGGGATGGGACCCTCAGGCCACAGTCCCGTGAGGGTCCACCACGCCATCCCAAAACGTCCTGCCAGCCAGCAGCAAGGACGGGAACGGGCCAGAAGCGGTGGCCCCAGTCTCCATGGTGAGCAGGGGCCGCAGACTCGGCACTCTGTTGTCCACTGTCCATCCCAAACCCAGTCGGGAAACAAGGCCACGGCCATGAACACGCCACGGCCACGTTTCCTTCCCCAGCTCCCGGACAGGCGTGTGATACACATGAATCCTACAAAGCCTGTGGGCACAGAGCAATGGGAGAGCTTGTCCGCTTATGTTCACGTGTGCATGCAGAATTGTGCTTCTCTGTTTCCCACAGCGGTGTGTGCTGTGTGCTGTGCCTGCAGGTGTTTGTCTTTGTAAGAGTGTGCTGCGGCTCCTCTGAGAGCTGACTCCGTCATTCACCGGTACAGGGGCCCATTTAGGGAAACACTGGATTGGGAGGCCTCAGCTGCCATCCTCTGTCACCCTGGGCTGTCCCAGCCCCGCCCTGGGGACCACCCAGAATCCACACTGGATTGTAGAAATCCAGACTGTGGGACTGTGGTCTGGCCCACAGGGTGTACAGGCACTTATGTGTGCTTCGTGTATGTTTCTGTGTGTATGTGTGTGTCTGAATGTATATGAGAGTGTGTGTGTGTGTGTGTGTGAGAGAGAGAGAGAGAGAGAGAGAGAGAGAGAGAGAGAGAGAGAGAGAGGGAGAGAATGTCAATAGGCGAGAGCCTGCCCCTTAGGTCTGGGCTGATGCCCGCACGGGGCAGGGCACCGTCCTGTTCTCAGCAACAGCCCAGCCCACAGCGGCTGGGGAAGCTGGCTGGCTGCGGGCTGCTCCCTGCGCGGCTTCCCGTGGCCTCTGGGAGCGCGTGCGCGCCCCCGGCCCCGGGCTGACCTGGGCGGAGGAAGCAGGGCGGGACTTTCACGAGAAGGGCAGAGCGCGGTGGCCCCAGGCCGCCCCCTACGTGACCCAGAAGGAGCCGCGCTCCTCCAGCAGGCTGACGGAGCGGTTGGTGAGCGCGGCGGCGTCCCGCGCCAGCTTGTAGCCGAAGAGGCGCATGGCGGGCCCGCAGGCGTCCTGCACCACCTGCGCCAGCTTGAAGGGCATGCCGAAGCGCCACTTCTCGAACTGCTCCGACGAGTTCTTCTGCGTGGAGTAGATGCCGCTGGCGTCGCGGGGCGCCTGCGTGTTCCTCCGGATCCAGTCCTCCACCTGCGGCGTCAGCGGGATGCCGGCGAAGCGGTACATGTCGCGCGCCTTCTGCAGCGGCCGGCGCGCCACGTCCTCGTAGCGCACCAGCAGGTAGCGGCCGCGCAGCCAGGCGGGCTGCCGCAGGCCCAGCTCCGCCGACGCGCGGAGGCTCTCGCAGTGGCCCCGCAGCCGCTGCACCTCCTCCTCGCGCAGCCGGTCCTGCCCCTCGGCCAGCCACCTCTTCCACGGCTCGTACTTGCCCGCGAAGGCCACCATGCGCGAGGCCAGCACGGCGCGGGGGTCGCGCACCAGCTGGATGACGCGCAGGTCCAGGCGCGGGTCCTCGGCCAGCGGCCGCAGGAACTCCAGCTGGCGGATGCGCACGGCCTTGAGCGCCATGTGCTCCTTGCGGCGGCAGGCCTCGGCCGCCAGCGTCACGTTGAGCGGCCCGCAGCGGCGGTTCTTGCAGCGGTACTTCTCGAAGACCTTCTTGACGAAGGGCGTGCACACCGGCTCCTCGCACAGCGAGCGGCTGGAGCCGCGGCGGAACATGCCGGGCGTCAGGTGGTCCTCGGGCAGCGGGCTGATGAAGTGCTCCAGCACGTACAGGTCGCACAGGAACAGCTGCTGGAGCACGTCCCGGTACACCAGCGCCGAGCCCGCCGCGCTCGCGCCGCCCGGCTCGAAGCTCACGGTGCGCTCGATGTGCCACAGCGGCTCGAAGAGGTAGAAGATGTTGCCCTGCTGGTTGAAGAACTCGCCCACGAAGGACGAGCCCGTGCGGGTGGTGGCCATGAGGAGCACGTGGCGCCGGCGGCCGGCCTCGGCGGGGCCGGGTGGCTGCTCCCCATCCTCCTCCTCCTCTGCCTCCTCCTCCTTGGCCTCCTCCTGCTCCTCCTCCTCCGCTGGCTGCAGGCCGAGCTGCAGGCTGAAGTTTCGCAGGCGGCTCTGCAGCTGCGTGAAGGCGGAATCCAGCTCGCTCAGAGACAAGAGGGATGCGTTCTCGGCCAAGACCAGGCCTGGGTCCGTGCTGTTGGCGTCTGCCAGGGACTGGGGGATCTGCTTCAGCTTGTCCGAGACCCTGTGCGGACAAAGGGAGACCACACAGCTCAGTAACGAGAGGGGGTGTGGGGGTCCTCTCTCCCCTGTGCTGCCTCCCAGGCTGATCACCCAGTCTCTCTCACCTGGTTTCTTCCTCCCCCCCCCCCCCCCAAGCTGACTTTGAGGCAAGGACTTGAGGGTAAGTAGTTATGGGACAGACTGGTAGAGGGGTAGGGAAGTGAACATAAGGAAAGTAAGTCCATAAAAGATGTGCAGGCTACTCCTGTGGGCAAATCACTCTGGCTGGGGGGCCCTGGGAGAGAAGGAACACCCCTCAGGATTCTCCCTCCCAAGGGGTGAAGCTCCCTGGCCGGTGCTGGGCCTTGCCAGTGTGCAGGCAGGCAGAGAAGCCCCCGGGCAAGAGCGGCAGCAGGCCCTGGAGGCACGAACTGGTTCGGTCCATGCCAGGCACAGACTCAGCCCAATGCCTTCCCATCTTGGTGGATGCTTTCTTGCAGGGGTTGTGCCTGGGAGAGCATCTAGCAATCTATGGCAGGCCCACTAGCAGGGCCACTGCATGCAGCCACACACGGAGAACTCTAGGGGGCAGCATTCCCAGTGTAGCCTATGTGAGTGCAGGGTCCTGCAGCTGAGCAATATGCAACCTGGGCAGCTCGGTGCACCCCTGCTCACCAGGGATCCATATCAGGGCTCTGCCTCTCCGGGGGATCACCCTCACCCTTGACTTTGGATTGGTAAAGGGGATGGGCTGCTAATTGGAGGCAACATCCCAGGCCAGGAAGTTAGTTAATAATAAACCACAGCCAGCAGGTACTGGACACCAGTACCAGGCACTAGGCTAACAACGTTTATGTTTTTTTTCACTGACTCTTTACAGTAAGGTAGGCCCCACCATTAGCCATGTTTCAGAGAAGAGGCGCTTAAAGACAGAAAAGGGAAATCGTGTGCCCAAGTGTCACAGCTAGAAAGGGCCGGAATGAGAGTTCCAAGCCAGGTTGTGTTTGTCCAGAGCCCAGAGCTCGCCACGGAGGACCTGTGCATGGCCCACGGCTTGGGCACGGGAGGGAGGTCTGATGGTCACAGGCGGAAGGATTGCCTTCACAGGCCCAGAGTGCCTACTGCAGCCTCTCCCTGACCCGTCTCGATAAGAAGACATGTGCTTGCATGCCTCACCTCGATATAATTTTATTTTCCTTTTCAATGAAGAGAAAAACCACCACCACGAAAGCCAGGAAGAGGGCATATTTGCTCCTCATCCTCAGGCTGTGCAGGAAGTCCCGGCAGTCCTGGGGCGAAGCAAGTCCTTTCTCCATGGAAAAGGGCGGGGCCGTGGGCACACGGCTCCGGGCCATCGCGCGGGGCCTGGTTCCTTGTCCTCAGGTGGGGGACACCCTCGTCCTGCGGAGAGACAGGCTGTCAGGACACCCTCGTCGGTAGATGAGAAGGAAGAGGGCTTTCCCACCAGGCTTTGGAGGAAGCCCTGTCCTAATGGACTCTTCCCCAAAGAGACTTGAAATCAAGTCACTTAAATGCTAATGAACCCTCTGATCCATCCACGCCACCTCCATCAATTTATCCTTTGACCTCGCACATGACTCAAGGGCAAGTATGTGGAAAAGAATGATCCGAATAGTACAAATGTTTGCAATAGCAGAAGACTGCAAACACCTAACTAAAAATGATGAGGGAGGATTTACAAGTGCTGAGATGAATAATCTACCATCTACCTATCTACCTATTGTAATTTAATGTGTATAGCAAGCTGCAGACATCATGTGCTTATACACTGAGTGGCCATATTATTATGATGTCTACACGCATAGGAAGGGGACATGGGTGGTTGGCCTGCCTGCCTGCTGGTTGAACTCCTGGTAGAGGGACAATTTCCATATTACCCTTTATTATACAGGATATACACTGAGAGACCAGATTATGCATTCAGAGATCATAATAATCTGGCCACTCAGTGTATAGAACAGGATTTCTTAACCTCAGCACTATTGATATTTTGGACCATATGATTCTCCATTGTGGGAGCTGTCATGTGTATCGTAGGATGTTTAACAGCATCCTTGGCCTCTACTCATTGGATGCCAGTAGCATCCTTTCTGCTCTGATGTGACAATCAGAAATGTCTCCAGACATTGCCAACTGTCCCAGGTTGAGATCCTCTGATGTAGTATAATCCCAATTGAAAAAAATACTTTTCAGTGAGAGAAAAATATAGATGCTGAATACAAACAGACTTTGATGACCGGGGTACACAAGGCCTTGTCACAAAGAGCTGGGGCGGTCAGCAAAGAAGGGTAGGTGAGTCTTAAGTTTGTGGTATAGCACTGTGCACAGTTAGAATATTTTTTTAAATCTTCATTCAAGGACATGAGTTTTTATTGGTTTCTTTCTTTTCTTCTTCTTCTTTTTTTTTTTTTTTTAGAGGAAGGGAGAGAGAGAGAGAAACATGGGTCAGTTGCTGCTCATATGCTGACCAGGGATTGAACCTGCCTTTTTTTTTTTTCCCCTCATGTACAGGATGACACTCCAACCACTGAGCGATCCGGCCAGGGCTACAAGGTGATAATTATTGAAGATGAACATAACACATGAATTCTAACAAAACACCTTTCATGGCCTTGGCCTTCGGGTCTCATCTTCCTGGGGCAGCCTCCCTTGGGACAGGTTGGGGCTCCCCGGCCCGCCACTGAACAAAGACCCCCAGCAGTACCTGCGACTCTGTCATAAAGCAGCCTCCCTTGTCATAGCTTGTTCAATGCGGACCATCGCTTCACGGAGGACGGGAAGTCTGTCTTTCATTTCCCCTCAGCACTGGGCCCGGAACACGGGAGACACTGGTGCACGGTTGCTAAACGACAGAGGGATAAAGGAATCAATGACCTTCAATGGGAGGCATGCATCTTTTTAAAAGCTGGAGCAAACGCAGCGTTGCCAACGGAGCCTGAATCACTGTGTCTTTCATTTTTCCTGTCACCCACCTGCCTTGCACCATGAGCTCCAGATTCCAGCACAACACCCCCTTCTGAAAGCCCATCCCTTTCTCCATCAGGACCCTCCTCCACAGGAGACAGTCTGCTCCACGTTTGGAAAAATCTTACTGTGACCCTGTGCGGGGCACCCGGGACCATCCCTCCACCTGAAAAAGACTGGTTTTCCCCAGGGAGGCAGCTGGTATTGCATGGGGGCGTGGGGGAGCAGGAAAGTGAGCCCCAGGATGGCCCTGTAGGAAGCAGCTTTGGGGACAGCCAGGAAATCTGGCTTTGGGGGGAGCCGTGAGGCAGGGTTCTGCATGTGTGATGTGTACCCTGGCAGCAGAATGGAAGTCCCCAGCGGTGCCGGCAGCGTGGTTGTGGGGCGGCAGGCAGCTCTCCCTAAGGGACTCGGGGTGCTTCCTGAGTGTGGGTACGTGGAGAGGGGTCCAGGTGGGAAGAGGGCTGCAGGGACAGCCCCAGGGCACTCCGCATGCCCTCATTAAGCAAGTATTTCCTGAGCACCTACTGGGTGCAGGCCTCTGGTCTCTGCGCTGGGATACAGTGGTGAGCAGGCAGACCCGGCCCATGCCCTCATGGGGCTTGTACTCCGGTTAGGAGGGTGATCTGGAGTGCGGTGGGTAGCTCGAGTCTATTGAATGCTTGCTAGTCTGTGTCAGGTACCGTGCTAAGCACTAGATTTGCATTTCTGCATGAAATCTTCACAAAAGTCATATTACAGACGAGGAAACGGAGGTTGAGAGAAGTTGAATAACTGGCCCAAGGCTCCTCCAGCCGTGGCCTGATCACTCGGGCCAGATGCAGGTCATTCAAGCCTCTTAATGCTCCCAGTGTCCTCCCCCTCTCCCCGCCTTCACCCCCCGCCCCCCGCCACACACACAGAAGCACCTGTGGGAAGGCTTTCTAGCTGATGGCATGCATGTCTGTCTGTCTGTCTGACTGTCTTTCCCAGACTACAAGCTCCCTGAAGTTAGAATTAGCATCTAGGATGGCACCTGGCACATACCAGCTGCCCAACAAACCCGTGGTGAGTGAACCTGTCAAAGCTGGTGCCTGGGTAGGTGCCTGGCTCAGTGCCTGGCTGGCTGTTGACATCTTTGCAGAATGCCTGGCAGGACCGCGTTCCCAGGCACCCTGTTTAGCCGGCTGTGGGTGCGAGGCTGCCTGTCCTCCTGAGAGGGGGAGGCCCAACACGGAGTCTGCAGGATGCAGGCATTGAAATCCTGACTTTCTGCCCTCTTAGCTCTTGGCTGAGCGTTGCCTGGGTCTGATGGGGAAGCAGAAGTAACTAAGAGCAGAAGTCCTGGGTTCCAGGCCTCCCAGTGTGTCTGCTGTGCTGTGTGACTCTGTAGGAGTGACTTAACCTCTCTGGGCCTCAGTGTCTTCCCCTGCAGCATGAGAAGGGCAGTGCCCGCAGCATCGGGTTGCTGTGAGGAACAGTATCTGGTGTGTGGTAGGCGCTCAGTCAATACTAGAGGGACGCAAAGGGGGACACGGGGGACGGGGAGTTGCTTCTCTGTCTTCTCCTCCCTGAGTCTGACATCTTGGATAGGATTTAGGAGTCGGGAGGCCTTGAAGACAAAGCTGAATCCCTCCTCCCCCGCTTCCGGGCACTGTTCCTATTTGAGTTGCCATCCCAGCCTCACCACCCGAATAAGAGAGGTTCCTGAGAACTCAGGCATTGCCCTAAAAGGACAAGCCAGGGCGAGAACCAGCATGAAATTCCAGGCAGGCTGTGGGCCCACACGGCATGTGGGTGGGATGATGGGCAGCCGAGGAGGGAGATGCAGAGGCCCAGGGGGGATGTGGGAGCCCCAGATCCGGGAGGTAGGAGAGGGTCACGGAGGTCAGGAGGTCATGAGCCATGAGCGAGGAGGACAGGGTCAGCTGGCCAAGTTCCAGGCAGAACCCGCCCTGCAGGAGGCCCTCTGCGACATTGGTGACACAGGACAAACCTTCACGCTCCCTCCCTCCCCAAGCCAGTGGTGCCCAGCAGTGGTGTGGCTGCCAAAGGAAATGGGTGTCCCCTGGCCAGGAGGCCAGCAGAGGCCACATTTCCAATGGTGAGGAGGTTGGGGGCAAGGGCCAGCCCAGCTCTGCCTGGATGCAGGGAGGTGCTGGGACAGCCACCCTCAGCCCACTTACACCCAGTGTTCAACTCAAATGTCCCCGCCCCCGATCCTTCCCTGACCACCAGCCTACCGCTGACCAGTCCCCTGCCCCCTCACTTCCCCTCAGCCTCCAGCTTTAGTGCCTTCTTGACGCACTGTGCTTGCTCACTGCCTATCCTGGCCGCCCGAATGTCTGGAGAGATGGCAGGGGCAGCTCGGCTCTGCCTTGGCAGTCCACGCCCAGCATCCAGTGCCCTCTGTGTGCCGGGCAGAGAGCCAGGGTGCCACAGGAGTGTGGGTGAACGGAAGCATGTCTTTCCCAAAGCATTCAGCCTGTGCGAGATGCCTAATCATTCTGAATTCGTGGGAGATTCGAAGAAGAAAAGCAGGTGTTCCCTACACGAGGGAGCCGTGTGTGTGCTGTGAGCATAAGCCTGTGTGTACGCCACGGGCATGTGCTGTGACTGTCTCAGTGTGCACTATAGGCATGTGCTGAGTGTGCTCTATAGGCACTCACTATAGGCATGTGCTGAGTGTGCTCTATAGGCACTCACTATGGGTGTGTGCTGAGTGTGTTCTATCGGCGTTCACAGCAGGTGTGTGCTGAGTGTGTTCTATCGGCGTTCACTACGGGTGTGTGCTGAGTGTGCTCTATGTGTGTTCACTATGGGTGTGTGCTGAGTGTGCTCTATGTGTGTTCACTACGGGTGTGTGCTGAGTGTGCTCTATCGGCGTTCACTACGGGTGTGTGCTGAGTGTGTATTACAGGCAGAACTGCAGGCTTCGAGCCTCACAGACATCAGTCTCTTGGATTCCCGTCTCCATGTGGATGCCGTTTTGAGGCTGAAGAAACTAGACTTTGGGGCTTTCAGTTCAAGCCCCTGCCGCTGTGTGCTGACGACGGGGCGAACAGAACCCGGCCGAAGGCACCCCAGGCCCCTCTGAGTGAGGGAGCCCTGGCAGGAAAGTGGGCCGGGAGCAGAGGCCCTCAGCTCTAAGCACAAGCACCCGGCCTGCGCTCCCCTCAGGGGGCCTTTCTGCTCGGGTCTGCCTCATGGCCGGGCAAGGGGCCTCACCTGACAACAGTCTTCCACTCAGATGGCCCCCAGCCAGGCCCCTGGCTTCCCCAGGCCTTCCACCGAGGCCCCAGCGGGCCTGCAGCCCACCCCGGCTCCTCCTGGGGAAGGTGGGTCCCAGTCTGTGTGAACGGAGCTCTGAGAAGGGACAGGCCCGACCAGGCATTGCATCAGGCTTGTGCTCAGGCCAAGAGCACAGCAGGCTTAGGCTCAGCTGTTGCAGGCCCTGCTCACACAGCCTTCCCACCGGGCGGGAGGAGCTGCCTGGGGGAGAGGGCTGAGGGAGGACAGGGCTGAGAGGGGGGCTCTGAGGGCAGGCATGGCACAGGGAAGCCTCTGGTGGGAAAACTCAGCAGCAGCCCAGGGGCTGCACCCATGCCACATTGTCGAGCACCTGGGAGGGGAGCCGGGAGGGTCCTGTGAGCTGTGTCTGGAGGCCCAGGGGAGTGGAGACAGAGGCAGGACAGGGAGCTCCGGCGTGGGCTTGCCTCTGGTGTGGACGATAGCTGCTTGGGAAACACAGAAGCCCATCCCGTGGCCTGGCGGGCTGGGTTCTGTTTCATAGAGCGACGCCCAGAGATGGCTTGGGAGGGGTACCCCCTCCCCCCGTTATATCGAACTTAGTGTCTGACGGCTGAGTCAATGCCCAGAGGCATAGGATGGCCATGAGTGAAGGAAGAAGAGAAGGAACGAAAGAACGAGGAAGTGAATGAATGCCTGGCAGGTGCTCCCTGTGCCGCTCAGGGCTACCATCCTCCCCAAGCACCTCTCCCAGAACAAACCCAGCGATGACCATCTACGGGCACTGTCCGCACTCAGCCAGACAGATCCAGCAGCCAGAGGTGAAGGTACGGGTCACCTGAGTGGCCGTGGACCCCCAAGACTTTGTGAGAAGCTGTGGGTCATGCCCAGGTGGGCCCTGCCCGGTTGGGCAAGGGCCCGGCTGCCCCTCAGCCTTATTGCTGTGTGGGGATACGGGGAGCACACTCTTTACCCCCATGTGACGAGGCCAGTTCATCAGGGCCGGCTCAGCTGTGTGAGCGGCATATCCTGGGCAAATCCCAGAGCTGACAGCTGCACGACATACTGAGCCCCAGAGAACAATCTGGGCCTCCCAGGCAGCGAAGGCGCGCCCCGTGCCTCTGACGCCGAGCCCCAGGCCCCGGGCCAGTTTGGAAGTGACCGGCTGCTCTGGGCTCCGCTGCATCTGGCTGATCAGGAGCTGCAGCCGAGGCTGGAGTCCCAGACACCCGTAACTATGCGGCCGGGCAGCCTGGTGAGGTGTCTGCTGGCCCATTGGGAACGGACCTGGACGTGGGCCAAGACTCATGGCCAAGGATGCACCAGGCCCTTAACACGAACATGTCAGAAGCAGCTTGGGTGTCCCCCCAAACGGGGCTTGCTGACCAACTGCAGTGCATGCCCACATGGGTGCCAGCCAGGCAGGGCTTAAAAATGCTGCCCAACCACAACAATGGAAATGGAAGGGATGCGTCTTTTCATTTCATGCTCTCATATACTGGGTGAATTTTTGGTGACCAGGCACATGTATCACTTTAATACGTCTTAAAATCTAACCTGGAACTTAAAAGGAGAACGGTAAAATCCCTTGGGAAGCGGTGTGGACATGCCCTGGGCAAGGACTTGAGGCTGGGGACCAGTTAGTT